TAACAGTTTGTCTTTTTCCTATTTTTTCCTGGAAAAGTTTTAAATTTTCCCCGGAAAAATTTCGGACTTGAAAATCCTTCCCTAGCTTCGCAAGGAGCCCGCGGGCGGGATCACGTGGTCCACCCCGGTGTGTCGCGGGCTGCGCGTTTGAGCCTCAGGGGTGGCCTCCTCCCTACCATTCAGCGCCCGCGACCAGCGCGTAGGCAACCCAACCGACTCTCTGGTGGGGCGTGCGGCAGGCACACCCGGTGCAGTACTACCCGCTTACTGCTAGTGTATACATCCGTCCGTGTCGGACAATTGTACCATACAACAGTAGGAGCGAATGCCATATGCTTTGTAACTGTTACAAGATTTTGCTTTCTTTGTACTGAAAAGAATTTGTTGACATTACACTGGAAGTCCAAAAGTACAAATGTCACACCTGCAGGTGTGCAACGAAATATTCCACGCCTGCAGGTGAGCGACAGCTTATATACACTCTTCGGGACAAGTCGATGACCTTTACAAGTGACGAATCGCCATTGGTTCACCTAACAAATATAACTACGGTTAGGCAATATGGTCCACGCTGCTTCAACATGTGGCGCGACTGTATCCTGGGTGATCTTGTAGGTTGAAATAAACAGCAAAGCGTGACCACCGCACAGAATGAGTTAACCTCCTAAAGGTTCAGACAGGTTCCGTGTCTGTCGGTCTAGCTGTCTTTATGCGTACTCTTACCGTCCCTCGCGCCTGCAAAGATCCACGCTGCCCTCTGCTGAAACGGAAGTAATTCCGCTCAGCCGCACGTTTTATTCTACTTCCGTTTGCCTCGTCATTGTCTACACGGCGCAATAGCTGGAAATCCAACGCGAGTAAACGCCTGTGTCCCTTTCCCCTGTGCCCCCCGCCCCCCTCCGTCTCTGGCGGCTCCTCCGCCTTCATCTCTGCTCACAGGAAATCGGGACATCCTGTGAGGTCGTTCGGGGTAGCATCAGGCTATGGAAGGGGACATAGACACTGATAGAGAGAGAGAGACGGGGAGAGAGACAGAAAGAGAGACAGACAGATGAAAAAAACGAAAAAACTAGAAATTGCCCTGTGGTCTAGGGTTGTCGACCCACGCACCGCCCTGTCGGTGCCGTCATGACGTCATAGCCTTCCGGTGGTCTTGGGTGAAGACGCTTTCGTCCAAGCGGTGGTTGCCGATGACGTCGTTGACCCCGGACCGGAGGCGGCGCGAGGCGGGCGCCGGGCGGACAGCCCCGCCACACACGGGCGCACGCGGCTGCCTACCCTCCCCATGGCAGGGGCCGGGGCGGCCGGTCGCGTCCCAAGCCGATCACAGAGCGGCTCAAAACAAAACAAAAGTCGTTGTTTTTTTGTTTTGTTTTTTAAAAATTTTTATGGGGGACGCCACGCCATGTCGGTCTGCACGCCTAATTAGCTGATCTCCCCGTAGTTGTCTCCTGATTTTCATTTTTTTTCTTGTTTGGCGTTCCAGACGGGAGTGTACTCCAACACGGTCGTCCTGCAGCACCACAGCGTCGTCATGACCAAGGCCGACAAGATCTACAAAGTCAAGTGCACCTATGACATGTCCTCCAAGAACATCACCTTCGGCATGATGCCCATCAGGTAGGTGCCGCGTTGTTGACGTGTCCCGTTGACGTTGACGGCGGCGTCCTCTCGCTCGCGAGCTCACCCCTCTGCTGTGTGCTTGACCACAGGGACCCCGAGATGATCTCCATCACCTCCGCGCCGGAGGCCCCACCCCCGCGCATCCGCATCCTGGACGCGCGCAGCCGAGAGGTGGAGACGGTGCGCATCGGGGACAAGCTCACCTTCCGCATCGAGATCCCCGAGGACAGTGAGTATGGGGAACAGTATAAGGTCTAAGGTCCGGCTGACAGGGGGTCGGTGCACTTACAGGGGCTTTGTAGCTCAAATTGCCTACATTTCAGGCGGCTCACTAGGGACGATGGGAGGGTGGGGGCGATCGCCCCCACCCTCACCTTATACCGCACCTGGGGGTGTTGAAGCCTCGATTTTGACCTGGATTTAGTCAATATATCAAGTCCTCGAGTCTAACGCCACTGCTCTTTTCCCTCCAGCGCCCTACGGCATCTTCGCCCGAAGCTGCGTCGCCATGGCCAAGGACTCCAAGAGCACGTTCCAGATTATCGACGACGAAGGGTGAGTTCGCCGGGGCTCCGCCATAAAAAGAGAAATTGGTCTTATTGGAACTACATGCCTAGTCGTTATCAAAGTTTTCTCAAAATAGAGTTGTGAGGTTGACTTATATATCGTGGTTCTTGCCTTCCCTAGTTGTCCCGTGGATCCGGCCATCTTCCCGGGCTTCGCACCCGACGGCAACGCGCTGCAGTCCGTGTACGAGGCGTTCCGCTTCACCGAGTCGTACGGTGTGATCTTCCAGTGCAACGTCAAGTACTGCCTAGGGCCCTGTGAGCCGGTGAGTTTCCGCGGAGGCCGCCCTCCTCCCTACACTGGTGGGGAGTGACCGAAGTGACGTGAATCCCAACTCCTTCTCTTCCGACGCAGGCTGTCTGCGAGTGGGGGCGTGAGTCCGTCGAGTCCTGGGGCAGAAGGAGACGTTCCGCGCCAGCCAACGACTCCGAGGAGGCGTCGGGCGACGACATGACCCTCTCGCAGGAGATCCTCGTCTTGGACTTTGGCGACGACAAGCAGAGCCAGTCGCTGAGGAGTGAGGCCTCCACCGACTTTGGCAAGGGTGAGTGCATTGGCCGAGAGTCCGCTGCCGCAGCGGCCGCTGTGTCTAACGCCAGCTCCCTGTTGCAGACCACACGGTGATCATGACGGAGACCTGCCCGACCAGGACGTCGGTGATGGCGCTGGGCGTGACCTGCGCGCTGCTGGCCCTCGTGTACCTGTCCACGCTATTGTGCTACTGCACCAAGAAGTGGATGTATCCCCAGAAGGTCGTGGCTTGAAGGCGATCATACCCCACCGTTGGCCATGACCCCTCCCCCTTCCCTCCC